AATCCACAAGTCAGCCTGGACCCACTCGGGTTTCTCCCCTCCCTCCGCCCTTCAGCCTGGAACTAGGAGGGGCAGAAGGGGTGTCAGGGTGGGGGGTGGGGTAGGGTCCCAGGGAGGGTGCGTACTGGGGGTGAAGGTCAGGGAGACCCTCCCCCACCCCCCGCCCTGAAGACCGTAGAGTCTCACCCACCCTGAGCGATGTTCCCAGAGACAAATGGGGGGGTGGGGCAAGCTCGGAGCCTAGACCCCCTTCTCTCACTAAAGGCCAAGGCACACTCCTCCCTCCGCCTCCTGCTCCATCCGTGCGCCCCGGGCTGCTGCGCTGGAAGAACAGTGAAGGGAGCGAAGAAATTGGGGGCCTGGCATGACCCCTATAACTGAGTTGGGGACGGCAGAAGAGACCGCCCCCCCATCATATCCACATTCCCCAGCTTGCGGGCGGGGGCGGGACGGGCTACTGACAAGGCTCTCAGGCCACTGTGGGACCTGGGCTGCAAAATAAGGATCCAGGCGGGTCATAGGACACTGGGCTTCCTCGCCGAGGGCCTGGCACCTGCGCAGCCACGATCGGCGGGGTAGGGAGACTCCTCCAGGCAGTGAGCTCCTCGCTTCCCACCAGGGAAGAGGCAGAGGTTCCGGCGAGGGGTTGCCCCCGGGGTTAACCATCTGTGCACTGCATTGGACCCAAGGGACGTCTCCGGTGTTTCCAGGGGCTGGTGCGGGAGGAGGCATGCACGGGCCTATACAGCCCCAACGGCCTCCGGAGCGCTTTCTTGCCAGAATGTGCAGCCATCTCTGGCTACTCTGACCGCCAAGAGGGAGCTTACATTGGCATGCCTATAGGAAAAAGTCTTGAACGAGGAGGGAAACGAAGCACAATATTTCCTTCTCCGTCTTCCCTCCACCGTTGCCTGGAGAGGCAGCCCTGGAGGACGTCACGCACGGACACGAGACCTCCGCCCCACCCACCGGCCTGTTGTGTGTGTGTGTGTGCGTGTGTGTGTGTGTGTGTGTGTGTGTGTGTCCCCTTCCTCCCACTACCACATTCCATCAGATTCTAAACCAGAACTTGGGTCTTGTGATGGAGGCCACAGGGGAGGGGCGTGTCTGGGGTCTCCGGAGTGCTTACATTAGCAAAAGTAAACTGGGGGGAGGGGCTTGATGTCACTAGCTCCCCGCTGTGACCTTGAGCAGAAGGCCTTCCCTCTGGACCTCAAATGGGGAAAGGGGCTTGGACCCTGAGCTTTCTCAAGCCCCGCTGCAGCTAGACTGATGATGTAACCCAACCATCACCGGCCCAACCCCCGACTCCCCGCCTGCTTTCTAAGGCGAGTTCCTGAAGGCCGAGCTCCCACGGTGGGTGGTGGGGATGGGGATGAAGTGACGTGTCCTCAGGCTGTCCCCCACCCCCACCCAGCTGCCCCTTGGCCGCCCTCCCCCCTTCCACTTGGCTCCGCCTGCCCTGGAAGCTGTGTACTGCTGGGTCCCAGCTGCTGGCTCTAGCAGGTGGGGCGGGGGTGGGGGTAGGGAGGGTAGTTTCAAAAGGGAGGGGGCCAGTCGAGCCTCCTTGTGCAGGTTCCCAGGGGCACCCCAAAAGGGGATCACTGAAAAGAACCTGGGACGCCTGCCAGAAACCCAAGCCCAGGTCCTAGGAAGGGGTTGGCAAAGCCTTATCAGCCAGAGAGGCAGCTGCTGGAGAAATAGCTTAGCCGCTGAGTCACGCTCTCCTCTCGCCGAAGCCCCCTCCCCCTGGGCGCGCAACAGGCCTGAGAGAAACAGGAGCTGGAGAGGAGGTAGGTGGGAGGAGGTGCCCCAGACTGGGCTGGTCCAGACTGGGGCGGTGTGGCCAATACAGCCCTGGCTGCTGCTGCAGCATCAAGTTGCACCTCCTAGCTCCATGGCTTCTGTCTGGGATCTTGATCATTCTTTGAAATCCTTCGCTGCAGCCAACAAGCCTCCTGGGCCTCAGTTTCCCTAACTGAAGAATAGGTAAAATGCTGGCAGCGCTGGGGAAAGTGACAGCTGTAGCGGGGGCACAGGGCGATGATGAGGATGGGTGTCTAGATGGACATGGGGGACGTGGCCATGGCGTAGGGGAAGGATTCTGAACACTCAGACGACCCCCTCACACACACTGGTTGCAAGCTCAGCTTGGGTCCCAAGGGCTTCAGGGCTGTGGATTACATCATCTTTTATTTTTTTTTTTTAAGGCTTATATTTATTTTTACTAGAAAGCTAGATTTATGGAGAGAAACAAAAAGATCTCCTATCTGCTGGTTCACTCCCCAAATGGCCACAACAGCTCCTCCACCTGGATGCAGGGTCCCAAGACTTTAGTCTATCTTCTGTTGCTTTCCCAGGCCACAAACAGGGAGCTGATGGGAAGTGGAGCAGTTGGGACAAGAACTGGCACTCATATGGGATGCCAGCACTTGGACGCGGAAGATTAGCCCGTTGAGCCATTGTGCTTGCTAGTCCCTCATCATCATCTTTTTTTTTTCCTTAAAGATTAATTTATTTTTATTGGAAAGGCAGATATACAGAGAAAAGGAGAGACAGAGAGAGGAAGATCTTCCATCTGATGATTCACTCCCCAAGCGGCTGCAACGACTGGAGCTGAGCCAATCCAAAGCCAGGAGCCAACAGCTCTTCCGGGTCTCCCACTCGGGTGCAGGGTCCCAAGGCTTTGGGCCATCCTCGACTGCTTTCCCAGGCCACAAGCAGGGAGCTGGATGGGAAGTGTGGTTGCCGGGATTAGACTGGCGCCCGTATGGGATCCTGGCACGTGCAGGGTGAGGACTTTAACCACTATGCTATCGTGCTGGGCCCAGCCTCATCATCATCTTAATAGTAGCGAGCCATCCAGCGCTTGCCAAGGACTAGACATTGGAAGTGTTCTGTGTGTTAATGTATGTTTGTGTGTGCTCATGTGTTTTATCTTCATAAGCCTATTAGGTGTGTGTTAAGCAACAAATCAATATTTAGTCCTCTTTAGCACTGCTCCGAGACAGGAACATTTATTTCCCCTTCTGAGATGAGAAAACTTAGGCGCACAGAGGTGAAGGACCTGGGCGAGTGGTGGGTGACTTCGGTGAGCTGTACTTGCAGGTGACAAGTGTCTTAGCCACTGCACAAAACACAGCAAGGACTTTTCTTACAGTTCTTCTGTGTGTGTCTTTTATTTAAAAGGCAGTTACAGAGGGAGATCTTCCATCGTCTGGTTCACTCCTCAGATGACCACTGTGGCTTGAGTGAGTGAAACCAGGAACTTACAACTCCATCCGGGTCTCCCAGGTGACGAGCAGGGGTCAACATTTGGACCATCTGCTGCTGCTTTCCAAGGAGCACTAGCAAAGAGCTGAATTGGAAATGGAATAGCCAGGACTTGAACCGGTATTCACCTACGATCGTGGCATTGCAGGGCTGGGCTCCACAGCGCCAGCCCCTTTACTATGTTTCATCCATAGAAGATTGTTTAATACTTCACAAGCCCATCAGGTTGGAGTTGTTCTCCACTCACTAGTCAGAGGAAGCAGCAAACTAAAAAAGTGAACTCGCTTTCCCAAGGTCATGAAGAACAATATATTTCAGGCTTTTGGGGTCCTAAGAAATATACAGTCCCAAGCAGACACACACGCACACACATAATGGAGATAAAAACATCCCCTGGTTACTTCACTTCACACTGTGCCGTGCACCCTGATGGCTTCTATTTGATTTTGCTTTATTTTTTCTGGACTTCTGGTCATGACCCACTAAATTGATTTCCCAACCCATTAATGAGTCACCACCCACAGTTTGAATAGCACTGAGTCATAGCCAGATTTGAACTTGAGAAAGCCGGTTCTGGGGCCTGCTCTCTCGGTTATGAAGAATGGCTCAGAACAGCCAGACACTGGAGGCCTTAGCACCGGCCAGGACTCCACCGCTGGGAGTACCAGATGCTGGCCGGGCTGCCCCGCCGCGCCCCTCTCTCCCCACACCCTAGCAAATGCTAATGCAAAAGTCACGGATCTTGACTTTGGCATACAAACCTGTTGGCCTAGACAGAGCTATGATTTTTTTTTTAACGATTTATTTTTGAAGGCCCTTCACAATGGCTCAGAGGCTGAATCCTCCTCTTGCATGTGCTAGGATCCCATTTGGGTGCCAATTCATGTCCCAGCTGCTCCACTTCCCTTCCAGCTCCCTGCTTGTGGCCTGGGAAAGCAGCAGAGGACAGATGGCCCAAAGCTTTGGGACCCTAAGCCTGCATGGCAGACCCAGAAAATGCTTCTGGCTCCTGGTTTTGGATCAACTCTGTTCCAGCCATTACAACCACTTGGGGAGTGGATGGAAGATCTGTCTCTCCTTCTGTCTGTGGATCTGCCTTTCCAATGAAAATGGATAAATCTTTTTTTTTTAAAGATTTGTTTATGAAAGGCAAGGAGAGGAACAAACAGAGATGGAAAGATACAAGACAGAGAAGTCTTCCATCTGCTGGTTTGCTCTCCAAATGGCCACACTCCGGACCGGGCCAGGAGCCCAGAACTCCATCTTGGTTTTCTCATGTGGTTGTCCAGGTACATGAGCAAGGAACTGGACCAGAAGAGGAACAGCTGGGCTTCAACTGGCACTCTGATATGAGAGACTGGCAACATAGGCAGTAGCTTAACCTGCCATGCTGGCCTTAACTGCTAATCATTTTTTGGTAGACTTCTTATCAGCCTGTAAGGGAAATAGTGGCCAATGTGACACGGTCACAGAGGGCTTGTTTCAGACGTCCTGCCACCTGCTGCAGGAGGTCTTAGTGGCCATCTGCTGCTTGACGTGAAGGAGATTGCAAGTGGCAGTGATGATGGCAGAGAGGGACATCCTAAGAGCTGGTACAGGTGATGTTGGCAGCGACCATGAAGGGATTGATGGTGACGAGAAAAGATAGGGAGGTGGTGGTGATAGTAGGGGGAAGGCCCTGCCCCTCTTTCGCATGCTGAACCACATTCCCTCTTCTCCTTTTCTAGCACTTTCCTGAGCACCTGGACCACTTTGCCGAGAACATGGAGGACTTCTCCAACGACCTGTTCAGCAGCTTCTTCGATGACCCCGTGCTGGATGACAAGAGCCCGCTCCTGGACATGGAGCTGGACTCCCCGGCACCAGGCATCCAGGCCGAGCACAGCTACTCCCTGAGCGGGGATTCGGCTCCCCAGAGCCCACTGGTACCCATCAAGATGGAGGACACCACCCAAGGTGAGTGCGAAAGGATCTCCCCAGGACGGCACATGTGCATGCTGAAGTCCTGTTACTAGTATGAGTGGCTAGAACAATGAACAGGATTTTATTCCTCTTTCCCTCCAGAGGCTAGCGATTAATCTACAATGGATTTCTTAATTTTATCATCTTACAGACGTGCTGCAAAAAGTTCATAGAGGGAAGAGCAGGTGTTTTACATAGCAATTGAGACCCCACATCAAATGCCTATTCTCCTTATCAGTGCCTAGCCCCGGCTCCTAACTCCAGCTTCCTGCTGATGTCGACCCTGGGAGGTAGCAGTGATGGCTCAAGTGGCTAAGTTCCTGTCATGCATATGGGGGAGCTGGACTGATCTCCAGGTTCCTAGCTTTGGCCCACTCCCTGTCCTTGACACTTAGGGCATTTGGGGAGTAAACCAGGGGATGGAAACACTCTCTCCAGGGACCAGCAAACCCACATGTGGACAGGCCTTAGGGCTGGGCTCTGCTTGGGAAGCATGAGCTACTGCTAGGAGTCTCGGGAATACCCCAGGGCAGAGACAAGCCCCTTATTAAACCCCAACCTTGCATGATCTACTGGGTTCCCAGCTTCCCACCATGTCCCCTCTGGCTTCAGCTAAGCCCCCAGAGACTGCCTCCTCTGTCGGGTCCCAGCCCTGGACTGGGCAAGCGGCAGGGATGTGGGCAGTCCAACTCCTGTGGCAGGTTTTCCATCTACCCCTGGTGGGTCAGGCCGGCCAACTCCTTGACCATCCCTAGTCTATTTTTAAAGCAATTTGTCTGTGGGCCCTTGCTTTGCAGGGGGCAACTTCCCAAAGACTGGCAGTGCAGCTCTGTAATTTGCAAAGATTATGGGTGTCCCTGCAGCCCAGAGACAGTATGATCCACAGCAGGGGGCCCTTCAGACTCCCAACAGGGTGGGCCCTGGGCAGCTGCTGATCCCCTCTGTCCACCCACAGCTGGCCATGGAGCCCAGAGTCGCCTCTAGCCATGGCCATGCAGGCTGCCTCCTCATCCTCTTTGCATCTGCTCTACTGGCTGCCGATGATGGGACTGACTTGGAGGTGGCCAGCCATGAGCACTCATTGGATGTTGTGGCCTGGTGGGGGCGGGGAGGCAGGGACCTTGAGCAGCCACTCCCTCTCCCACTTCCCCCAGACTCCAGACATGGGGAGAGGGGTGCCAGGGTCCTCCCATCCTTTCCAGCAGGTGGTTGTGTGGGGTTCAGAAAATGTTTCTTAATAGCAGTAATTGTATCAACCGGAACTACTGTTTTATCCCACATTCACTTGTCACCACACCCTGGGTCTAGAGCTTTATGTGCAATTTCCTACTTAATCCTCTAAACCTCTACCAGGTAGAGTCTCTTTCTTTCTCCACTGTACAGATGAGGCAGCTCAAGCCCAGAGAGGCTAAACAACTTACCAAAGGCCACATAGCCAATTTAGAGGGGACGTACAGGTCTTGGTGTCCTGGCCTACCCTGTAAGCAGTCCCAGCATCACCTCATGGGCATCCCGTCCCCGGCCTGTCCTCCTGGCCTTCATTCAGCCCAGAGCAGCCCCTAGGGCAGAAGTGGGGCTTAGCCCTCTGCCCTGAGAGTACCCTGAGCCTGAGTCCTGTCCCTCCTCTCCCCATCCCCCAGACGTGGACCATGGAGCGTGGGCGCTGGGACACAAACTGTGCTCCATCATGGTGAAGCAGGAACAGAGCCCGGAGCCACCCGTGGATGCCCTGGCCGCCTCCTCGGCCATGGCCGCCGCTGCCGCTGCCGCCGCCATGGCCACCACTCCACTGCTGGGTCTCAGTCCACTATCCAGGCTGCCCATGCCTCCCCAGGTGAGCCTAGGGATGTCATGGGGTGGGAGGAGGGTTCTGGGCATGATTCGGGGGAGGGGAGATACTGTTGAGTCTTCCTCTGGCCCGTAACGTCACAGAGACGTTACCCAGCATTGCCTCTCCCACGCCAGGCCCCCCTCATCTCCCTTGCGGGCTGACCCTTCACCCCCGTGCAATGCCCCCAAGCCCAGTCCCTGGTGCAGAGGAAAGCTCACCTGGGACTCAAGGCCAAAGTCTTAGAAATGGGCATAGCTAGGGGCCACTTCCTTTTCTCAGAGTTTCAGGGTTTCAAAGAGAAAAGACCCACATTGAAATGCAAAAATGGTGCTATATTTTGCTCGTTTCTGTTTGTGAGAGTAAGACGTCACAGTCTCCTGTCAAGCCCCCACCCAGGTCCCTGCAGGCACCGGACCTCTCCCTGCCAGGGATGTGAGGACCTGGCTCCCTGGCTCCTGGAGGCGGCCTCCACAGCCTCATCTTCAGCTCCTTGTGCTGTAAAGTGGGCATGAGAACCCCCATAAGCTCATCTAGCCTTGACCACATGGCTTATCAAGCCCCGCAGTCAGGCCTGAAGCTGGCCCCGCTCCCTGTCGCCATGTAGCTCATCCTATCAAACTGTGGGCAAAGGTAAGAAAGATGAGCCATTCTGGGACCCTGCCATGGTCCCAAGCTTCAAGGTTGCAAATGTGTAGGATTTTTTTCTTTTTTTAAGATTTACTTATTTTTATTTGAAAGGCAGAGTTAGAGAGAGAGAGCTCTTCTTCCATCCAATGGAAGCCAAGAGCCAGGAACTCCATCCAGGTGTCCCCCGTAGGTGGCAGGGACCCAAGCACTTAGGCCATCTTCTGCTTTCCCTAGCACATTAGCAAGGAGCTGGGCCAGAAGTGCAGCAGCCAGGACGCAAATTGGCGTCACAGGCAGTAGGCTAACTTGCTGCACCCCAGCACCCTCCCTACTCCCTCACCCCTAGGTAAGCTGTTTTGAAACCACCCATAAGACTGGCTACCTCAAGGAAGGCTGTGACTGGCAGTAGCAGCTGGGGTCTCCAAAGGTGGGGCCCAGGCCTCACGGGAAGGAACCTGAGGCTGAAGGAGTTTAATTTGCCCCCAAGTCACATAGTCAGAAATGATAGCATCACCTTCCAAACTGAGCCCATTCACTGTCCCTGTCAAATGAGGTCCCTGCAACCTTGTGGCAGGTGCAGGAGCCAGAAGCTGGCACTGGCAGAGTCCACAGTGAACCGTGTGACCCTCACAAACACCATTCTGCTTGACAGTCCTCTTGTCTGTCATCTGACCATGAGCTGGGCTAAAGGCCAGGAAGTCGGGAAGGTCTCAGCCACCTTGAACTTCCTCCAATTCTGGGTCCTACCTCCAAAGATCATGACCTCTTCCTGCTGGATAGAGACCCAGGAGAGATGGACCCCAGATGCAGCGCCCGGTGTCATGTCTCCCTCAGGAAGAATACCATTACATACCTGTTGATAGTCACATGTATGAAGCCATGCATATTCATAAAGCACGGATATAAACTACTAGGAAGGCATACATGTTAAATATGACCCAGTGGAGCCTTGCGTCAGACCTCTTTGGATTCTGCTCTACTTTATTCTCCAGGACTCATTGCAGCAGGAAGCTTTCTCTGGGCCACCTTCTTTGGCATCATTACTATCTTTCACTCTCAGAGCTATAGCATGCCAGACATGACCTCCTTCCAGCCCATGTACCCAGGCCTGTGTAGTCCCCCACAGTGCATGGGCGGGCCATAGGGAGCCCCCCTTCCCCATCCTCCACCCCTGAGCATAAGGTCGGAGCCATACTACCCGGCCACCATTGTCTTCTCCTGAGTGTGACTTGGCTCCTCCAGGCATCAGCCATGAGAACTCGTGCCTGCTCTCTCTGGGCTGTATTCGGCCACTCCCCACCGAGCCTCAGGGTGGGAGCTGAAGTGGGCAGAGTGATGGAGACAGTGCATCAGGCAGCTAGTAGAATTGTACCTGGCTCTTCCCCAGGCTCCAGGAGAGATGACTCAGCTGCCAGTGATCAAAGCAGAACCCCAGGAGGTGAACCAGTTCCTCAAAGTGACACCAGGTGAGTGTGCTCAGCAGAGGAGCTCCTCCCCAGTTGCAGAAGACAGCATTGCTTCTGCCTTGGGTCAGCCTGTCTCTGTACCTCAATATCCTTCGCCTCTCCCTAAATATCCTCTCCCTCCATCCAGACTCCCTCTCTGCCTCCAGTCCTCTTTTTACACAGCAGGCTACTGAGTCACAGTGTCATGGTATCACCAACCCCCTCTACCCTCTTCGCTAATTAGACTTCACATCCATGCTTTGAGAACCCCTCATCCGCTCACCCACTCACCAGTCCATACATCCACCCATCCATGCCTCCATTCATGCCCTAACACATCATCCGTCCATCCATCTGTCCCATCCAACCAGGCAGCCATCTGTTCATCAGTTCATCTATGCACCCATATCTCTATGTATCCATCCAGATCCACGCATCCATCTCATCTACCCACCTAACCATCCAACTCTCCACCCACCCACCCATGCACTGAATTTTGTCCATCCATCTCATCTACTCTTCTATGCATTCATGCATGTATCCATCCAATAAGAGTGCATCAACTGACATCCTTAAGTCCCAGGCTCTGCGAAAGTAGAGAGAAGGTAGTCCCTGTACCCAAATAGATTTCAGAGTAGTGAGGGTTGCAAACAAACCACTTGACTGCAATGATGTGTGTGTGTGTGTGTGTGTGGGTGTGTGCGTGTGTGTGTGTGTGTGTGTGCGCGTGTGTAGATGGCAGGTCCCTGGGAGGCCTTGGGACCACAGTTCCAGACCAGATAGGGAGAAAGAATTTCTTTCTTTCTTTCTTGGAGTTACCCAGAAGCTTAAAGGGGTAATGTAATATTTTCCACCCTACTTCATTAATTTATCAAGTATTGACTAAGTACCTCTTGTGTGCCAGGCCCTGAACTAAGTACTACAAGGGTTAGCATATATACAAGTTGAAGTTCATCCTCAGAGAGAACACAGGATGCATGAGGGAGAAAGGGACTAGGGCTAAGACCCCTCCCATTCTCTAGTCCTCCCACAAGCATCTTCCTGTTTGACGTTCCTTGCAACTGCCCGGGTCTGAACAGGGAGTCGCTTCCCCCGTGCAGCTAACTGCCAAGGGAAGTGAGCTGGGACAAGTACAGGGCACACAATTGCGCGCCCACAGGTGGGGCTGCCACAGTTCCAACTTGACCTCAGATCCATCTGGCCCCAAATGCAGTGGCCTTTACAGTGCTGTATCTCTATGAGGTAAATAAGTGGCCGAGAAGGGAGAGCTGCGGCGGCTGATCCTGCTGCACCTGCAATGATCTGGGCCTCGAGGCTATGGGTCTTGGCTCTGCCTGGGTTCCCCCTGTACCGTGTCATTCATCCAAGTGCGCAGGGACTCCAAGGGGGGGCCTCACACAGCGGGGAGGCTGGGAGTGGCCAAGGCAGCAACACCTGCTGTCCTGTTACTCTGAAACTGGAAATGGAAAACCCACAGCTGGTTGTGGCTAAATAGTTGGGGGTGGGGGCAGGAAGGAAGGGAGAGAGAGCCTGACCCACCTGGGCCCTGGCGGGGGGAACCCTGTGAAGTCAGGGGTTGGGGAGAGTGTGGCCCTGGAACATTCGTGCCATTGAGCAGCTTGAAAGAGCTGGGATTCTGGGAAGGAGTGTCCCACAGGGGTGTACCCAGCCTCAGCTGTCAGCCGTGCTAACCTGGCTTCACTCCCTTGCTCCCCCACTCACAGAGGACCTGGTGCAGATGCCTCCGACGCCCCCCAGCAGCCATGGCAGCGACAGCGACGGCTCGCAGAGTCCCCGCTCTCTACCCCCCTCCAGCCCAGTCCGGCCCATGGCTCGTTCCTCCACCGCCATCTCCACCTCCCCACTCCTCACCGCCCCGCATGTAAGAAGCTGGAGGGATGGGGGGAGCTGAACCTGGAGGCAAAGCACTGAATAACCTCCGCGCCCAGTGCAGCACACATACGGACCTGTGGGGGGTCAGGGAGCCCCCAGATCTGATCCCTCTCCCCATCAGAAGCCAGAGAGGGGGCCCTCCTGGTAGAGGGAGGTGAGAATCTTTTCATCCTGTCCATGGAGGCAGAGAGACATGGCTCAGGTCTAGACCTTGACCTCCCTGACCCTGGGATAGGTGGCCCTTGCTGAGACCCCAAGTTCCTGGGATAGAGGGAGCTGGGCCCAAAGCCTCAGAAGAGGTGTGGAGCCCCCTAAGAGAGGGTGCTGCTGGATTCCCCTACTCACCCCTACAAGTGAGCTTTGGGGTGTGGATTCCAATCCCTCCCACCCCACCCCCAGCAATGTCCTGTGCATCTAACCTGCTGATCCTAGCACTTAAAAAAAAAAGATTTATTTATTTTTATTGGAAAGTCAGATATACAGAGAGAAGGGGAGACAGAGAGGAAGATCATCTTTCATCTGCTGATTCACTCGCCAAATGGCCGCTATGGCAAAAGCTGATCTGATTCAAAGCCAGGAGCCAGAAGTTTCTTTTGTGTCTCCCATGCGGTGCAGAGTCCCAAGGCTTTAGGCTGTCCTCTGCTGCTTTCCCAGGCTACAAGCAGGGAGCTGGATAGGAAGTGGAGCAGGCAGGAGTAGAATAAGTATCCACAGGGAATCCTGGCGCCATGGGTGGAAGGTTAGCCTACTATGCCACAGCACCAAACCCAAGCACTTGATTGGTTGACACGGGACTAATTCAGACCCCACCCCCTTTCCAGAGGAGGACGGGGAGGCTCCTAGAGTCCAGTAGGTGACAGAGCTCGACTTTGAACCCAGGCCTACCTGGGTCTCTAACCGCCTTGCTCTCTTTCCTCCAGAAACTCCAGGGGACATCCGGGCCGCTGCTGCTGACGGAGGAGGAGAAGCGCACCCTGATCGCCGAGGGCTACCCGGTTCCCACCAAGCTCCCCCTCACCAAAGCCGAGGAGAAGGCCCTCAAGCGGGTCCGGAGGAAAATCAAGAACAAGGTGGAGTCCGGGGCAGGACGTGGCCTCTCCCCCACCAACCCCGGGGCTAGGGGGCTTCCCTGGGGAGCCGCAGAGCTAGGGACAGTAGTAACCTCTCCTGGGGCGGCTTCCCCCTCTAGATCTCAGCCCAGGAGAGCCGCCGGAAGAAGAAGGAGTATGTGGAGTGCCTGGAGAAGAAGTAAGAGTTCCCGGGAAGGAGGCGGGCCTGGGGTTGGCGAAGGACCAGCGCCTTGGGGGCGGGGCCTGTGCCCGGGGGTGGGGCCTGGAACAGAGGCGGGTCTTGGCGGGGGCGTGACGTGGGGCTGGGGGAAGGGGTGGGGTCCTGGGCAGGGTGGAGCCTGGGACAGGGGCGGGGCCTTGACGGGGGATGGGGCCTGTGACAGGGCGTGACCTGGGGCTGGGGAAGGGGCGGGGCCTGTGACGGGGTGGGGTCTATGACAGGGCGGGGCGGAGCCTGGGGCAGGGGCGGGGCCTGGGAGCTGTTTTGAGTCTGGGGTGGGGTCCTGAACCCGTGCCTACCTGGTCCCTACAGGGTAGAGACTTTCACATCAGAGAACAATGAGCTGTGGAAGAAGGTGGAGACCCTGGAAAACGCCAACAGGTGCGTGGGGCCACCTGCAGCCCTCGCTGGGGCCCCCGGCCCTCTGTGTAGCCATCCCTGGGAGGTGGGAGCTGGGGGACATCACTAGGATTAGCATGACACCCACACCCCCTGGGTAGACCCCCGGACTGCAGAACCCCTCCATCCTGCCCACTCCCTGCCTTCTGCTGCACAGAACTCTGCACCCTGACCGGGCAGGTGAGAGACACAGGTGACATCCACAATGGGAACGCATTGCCCAGCCCCAAAGCTGGGTCTCCTGGGTCAGAATCGCTATGGGTAGGACCTAATAGTCTTTTTATATATATAATGCTTTCATGTTTCTTTATTAAACACTCCAAAAAAAGATGTTTTGGAAGGCAGAGTTCCAGAGAGAAATAGATCTTCCATGCCGGCTCATTCCTCAAAGGCTCACAACTGCCAGGGCTTAGCTAGGTGGAAGCCAGGAGTCAGGAGCTTCATCCGGGCCTCCCAGATGGGGGGCAGGAGTCCGAACATTTGGGCCATCTTCTGCTGCTCTTCCCAAGCTATTAGTAGAGGGCTGGATCTGAAGTGGAGCAGGCGGGATTTCAACCAGCATTCAAATGGGAAGCTGGCATTGCAAGTGCTGGCTCTACCCGTTATGCCACAGAGCCAGCCCCATATTTTCACAAGCCCTCAGAGTAACCTAGAGGCAGACTGACACTCAAGAACAACCATTTGAGATCCCTGTGCAATGCAAGTTCCTTCAAAGGGCAATATGTGCATCTGCTGGGAACTTGCTAAAGACACAGAATTTCCGAACTCACCACCACCGCCACCCCTGGCCAGCTGGGGCATTTTAACAAGAACCCCAGGGTGAGTCGGTTGCACAGGGCGCTGTGAGCAATGCTGGCATGAAGTGGCTGGCACGGAGCCTAAAGCACGGCAGGTGCCTGCCTCCCAGCTCTGGATTCTTCCCCTACACTACGCTTCGATGACTGCGAGGTGACTGTTAGAACCCGCAGAATCCCGGTCCCTTTGTCCAAAGGGGGACAAGGAGGCTCCTCTCCCGTGGAAGCCACGTGGCACACGGCAGGAAGGCATCCCAGAGTGCTTGGCGCTGAAGCATGTTCGACTCATACTAGTTTGGGTTTTTCTTCTTTTTTAACCGTAGGGTGTTTGTTGTTGTTGTTTAGACATATTTTATTTACTTAAAAGGCAGAGTTATGGAGAGAAGGGGAGAGAAAGAGACAGATCTTCCATCCCTTGATTCATTCCCCAAACCGCTGCAGTGGCCGGGCCAGGATTAGGAACCTGGAGCCCCCTCCAGGTCAGCCACGTGCATGGCAGGAGACTAAACACTCCATCACTTGGTCATCGTCTGCTGCCTTCCAAGGGGTGTTAACAGGGAGCTGGATCACAAGTGGAGCTGCCAGGACACTAACTGGCGCTTGCATGAGATGCCAACATTGCAGGTGGCCAGAATGTCAGCCCCTGTTTTTTTTTTTTCTTAGTAATACCTATTTATGAGTTCAAGGCAGATCTTTGATCATAATTTGCTGGCATTAATTGAATGAACACAGCAGCTACTGTCAGTCCTCCAGAAATTCTTCAAGACTCCTTCCCTTTTACCCCCTAATTGGCTCGCTGTCCCCTGCTCACTCCCAGCCCCAGGTGGTCAGAGGTCAGAGGTCAGAGGCAGGACAGGAGCCCCTCACCTCTCACCTCTTGGCCAGAATGGGGCCAGGCCCTTGAAGCCATTTCGCCACCTGCTGTACATTCTTGGAACTACAACCCTGCCCGCAGGGTTGGGTGGAGGACAATGGTTATATATTTCCTGGTGGGCATGTCTTGAGCAGTCCTTTCATGCTAGCCAAGGAGAGACTGACATGGAAGTTCAGTGGTCAAGAAAGGGCTAAAGGTGCAGTGACAGAAGCAAAAAACAATTTTAATATGTACAAAACTCCAGCCACCCTTTTGCTGGACGCTCACCGCCTACCAGGCCCTGGCCAACCAAAAGATTCAGGGTGCTATAGGGTACGAAGAGGTGTGGCTGTGGCTGGTATAAGAGCAACAATACTGGTCTCAGCCCAGAGAAGGGACATTGTCCCTGCAGCTCCTTCCTTGGCCAGGGGCCCCTCTGGGGAGGCAGGCCTTGGGGAGGGGGCCGGCCACACCCTGGGGTAGCCAAGTAACCATGTACCGACCCTTGTCGTCTTGGCTGCAGTGGGGCACATGGTCTGTCCCTATTTCCTTGTCTACAGCAGGATACATGGGCCCATCTGGAGCTCCCACAGGAGAGCTCCAGGGGTGGAGCTGTCCTTGAGTGGGAGCCTGCCCACCCTTGACCACTGTGCCCCTCCCCTCCCCCCAGGACCCTGCTCCAGCAGCTGCAGAAACTCCAGACCCTGGTCACCAACAAGATCTCCAGGCCTTATAAAATGGCCGCCACGCAGACCGGAACCTGCCTCATGGTAGGCACTCTCTCCACCCCAGGGCCCCAGGAATACATTCAACTTCTGGCAGGAATGAGACTGGGCTGACAAGCCATGGAGGTCCCCCAGGGGTACCCTCCCCCTCACAGGGATGCCAGATGTGAGCATGAGCTGGAAGTGGGGACGGGGGCAGTCCCTGGAGGGGTGGGCTTAGGGGGCTGTGTGGACGTGGAGTCCTTCCTGGAATGGACGCTAGAAAGCCAACCAAGCCTAATGCCAGGCAATCTAAAAGGCTGAATGTGGCTGTGATCACAGCGTGTCTACCTCACTGGCTGCTTACTGGGTCTGCCATCCTTCGGGGCTGGGGTTCCCAGAGACCCCTTTGTCCCCAATCCCTCCTGCTTGGGCCCCCTCGCTTGGTCAGGCTCACCACCACCCCACCACGCCTGTCTAACCATGCCCTCCCCACACTTCCACACCTCTGTACCCCGGAGGTGGTCACCTCGTTGGCCACCACCTCCTTCCTGCTCCTAGCCGTCGGCTGGGCAGCTGCCACCTTCTCCAGAGACTGGAGAGCCCTGTGCGTTGGGTGTGTTGGGGGAGGGAGGGCTCTGGGAGCTGCCTTCTGGGAAACATCCTGAGACTGTAACCCTGCACCCCACCCCGACCCGCCATGCCCCGAGCATCAGGGAGCATCAGGGGCCTCTAGGATTGAGCTGATGTTTTCTGTCACCAGGTGGCAGCCCTGTGCTTCGTCCTGGTTCTGGGCTCCCTGGTGCCTTGCCTTCCGGAGTTTTCCTCCAGCTCCCAGACTGTGAAGGAAGACCCCATCCCCACGGACAGCGTCTACACGGCCAGCCAGAGTGAGTGTCTCCCTGAACCTCGTCCCATCCCCCACCTGCCCTCAGATGCCAGACATGAGCCACCACCTCACTGGGCAGATGGGGAGCCTGAGGTCCAATGAGGGTATAGGAGGGGAGAACTGGAATGAGAACACGGAGCCCTTGACTCCCAGCACACCCCTCCCCACACAGGAGTGTCCCCCCTGGGGTAATGTGGGTTTAGGATGAGAAAGACACCCGCTGAGCATCGTCAATAATTTGTAACTGGGACAGCACTTGAGCTTTAGCCCCAGGGCCATTTCTAATAAGGTGGTCAGGGCTGTCAATGTGCTCTTAAAGGCTCTGGATCAGCAAAAGTCAAGATCAGCAGGAAGGAGTGCTGCAATCCATTAGTGATGTCTGCCATGGGTAGAGGAAAGGTGTTGAGGTTGGACTCAAAGATGTACTAGCAGCCCGGCAGCGCGGCCTAGCGGCTAAAGTCCTCACCTTGAATGGCATAGCACCAGCCATTGCGGCCACTTGGGGAGTGAATCATCGGACGGAAGATCTTCCTCTCTATCTGACCTCCTCTCTGTATATCTGACTTTCCAATGAAAATAAAATAAATCTTAACAAAAGAAAAAGATGTACTAGCACCAAGCTTTCAGAGTCAGCCTTAGTTGGCCTTGCCACTTGTTAACTGTGTGGCCCGGAGTGTGTGTCCTGAAATCTCAGAACTGTGACTACCTTGTCTGGAAAGTAGGAGGACCAAGACTATGGCACGCGTGACACCCAGCGCAGTGTCACACAGAGCAGGTGCTTGCCGAGCAAGCACACCCAGGGCCGGCGTTCTCCCAGCGGCTCAACTGCTGCTTGAGGTGCTCGTGGCTCCCACGTGTGTGTGCCTGGTTCCAGTTCTAACCACTCCTTCTCTGGGCCAGCTTGTTACGGAGGCGTCCCCTGGGAGGCAGCAGGTGATGGCTTAAGCCCTTGAGTTCCTGCCACCCACATGGGGGACCCTGCACGGAGTTCTAGACTCCTAGCTTTGGCCTGGCCTAGCCCCAGCTGTGGCAGGTATTTGGGGAGTGAACCACTGAATGGGAGATCTCTCTCTCTCTCTTTCCCTGCCTTACAAATAAAGTCAAAATAAACATGCATACCCACTGCCTTTTGGGAGAGCTTGAAAGAGGAGCGAGCTAGGAGGAGGCATAGCTAGGAGACTGGGTCTCAATAGCCACCGGCTACTCTGGGTAGATCTACAGCAGAACTTCCTGGCTGACTTTGCTCTACTCCCAGGAGCCTGGCGGGAGGAAGAAGAGGAAACAGATGGGAGGTCAGCGCCAGGGGTGGTCCGGGAGGAGGGGGAGCTTGCTTCCAGAAGAACGGAGGGTGAGCAGGACCTTGAGGGCCCTGAGGGGAGGAAGTGACGCAGGGAAGGCTGGAGGAAGAGGAAGCAGGGGGCGGAGAGGGCCAATCACTCCTTGGATTGTGAGGCCAAAGAGGGCGAGGATAAGGCCCGGGCTAAGGAGATGGGTTCCAGAGATGTGGGGAGAGGGGAAACAGAACACTGCGCGGAGTGGGAGCTGGGGTAGGCGAGGTCATGGACAAAGCTGGAGCAAAGAGCCAGCCAGGCATGATGGATGAAACTCTTGGGGCAAGTGCCAGAGTCTGGACAGGGCAAGACAGAGGCTGCCTCTGATGGAACAGGAGGCTACTGGCACAGGCTGGGGCCTTCCACAGCACCCAGGCCTGCCTGCTTAGTTTTTGTTGTTGCTGTTGTTGTTTTTTTAAAGATTTTTTTATTTATTGGAAAGTCAGATATACAGAGAGGAGGAGAGACAGAGAGGAAGATCTTCCGTCCGCTGATTCACTCGCCAAGTGAGCGCAACGGCCGATGCTATGCCGATCCGAAGCCAGGATCCAGGAATTTCTTCCGGGTATCCCACATGGGTGCAGGGTCCCAAGGCTTTGGGCCATCCTCGACTGCTTTCCTAGGCCACAAGCAGAGAGCTGGATGGGAAGTGGAGCTGCCGGGATTAGAACCTGCGTCCACATGGGATCCCGGCGCATTCAAGGTCAGGACTTTAGCCGCTAGGCCACGCCGCCAGACCCTGCCTGCTTAGTTTTGTTTTGTTTTTCTTAAGATTTGATGCTACAGAGAGAGAAACGGAGAGAGCTTCCATCAGCTGGTTCACTCCCCATTGGTTATGGCAGCCAGGGCTGAGTCAGATGGAAATTAGGAGCTTCATCTGGGTCTCCCGCATGGGTACAAGGCCCCCAAGCACTTGGCTCATGCTCTGCTGCTTTCCCAGGCTATAAGCAAGGAGAGCTGGATCAGAAGTGGAGCAGCTGGGATACGAATACCAGCATTGCAGGTGGCAGCTTTACTCGCTACACCATAGTGCCAATTCTGGGTCTGACTTTTAGGTCATGGCTCTGAGTGCCGGCAGGCCAGTGGCCTCTCCTGGAGCCAGGCAGACCTGGCTGTGCACACTGCCCCCTGTGGGGGCTCGTGTGGGAACACCTGCTCTAGAAAACATTGGTGTAAGTTTCCTCCAGGATCGAACAACTCCATGTGGCTTAACTGGCCTCACAAGCATGTTTCTTTGCCTTCGTTTCCCTGAAGGGCCACCTGAGGCTGAGAATGGGGCTTACTCTAGGCACCCAGAAAGTAGCGTGGTCAGTGTAGAATTGGAACCCAACTTTCGGGGCTGTTGTAGCATAGCAAGTAAAATGCAATGCCAGCATCCCACGTGGGTGTTGATTCATGCCCTAGCTGCTCTACTTCTAAATTATTTACTGCTAATGTGCCTGGGAAAAGCACTGGAGGATGACCCAGGTGCTTGGGACATTGCTACCCTTGTGAGAGAACTGGAAAAAGCTCCTGGCTCCTGTTTTCAGCCCAGTTCTACTCTGGCCATTGTGGCCACTTGGAGAGTGACCCAGCAGATGGAGGATCTCTCTTCACTCTGCATAACTCTGCCTTTCAAGTCAATAATATCTTTTTAAAATTGATTCATTTTATAAAAAAATAAAATAAAGTAGCTAGGGCTGAACCAGGCTGAAAGCGGGAGCCCTGAGCTACTTCCATATCTCCCATTGGGTAGTAGCGGTTCAAGCACTTTGACCATCCTCTACTGCTTTCCCAGGCCATACGCAGGAAGCTGAATTGGAACCAGAACAGCTGGGATACGAACCAGTGCCCAGAGGGATGCCAGTGCCACAGGGTGGAGGATCAGCCACTTGTGCTACCACACCAACCACCAAATAAATAAATCTTTGGAAAAAAAAAAACAAAGACAAAAGAATCTGGCTCTTGGGTACACAAACTCTGCTTAGGAAGGTTTTTCTTTTTTTCTGAGTGTTCACTAAACACAGTTTCAGTATTACCACATTTAAACCTCACATCTCCATGAGGTTGTACACATGAGCAAGTCACAGCTCCTAAAGGTTAGAACAAGTGAGGAAGCGTGAGACCTGGGGCTGGACCCAGGGCAGTGAGATTCCAGAGCCGAGTCCTTTAGCCTCTAGACTGCGAACTGAGAGGCCACGAACGTAGCCAGGACTAGGCACAGGCCACAGGCTCACACCATGCTTCCTCCCCAGTGCCCTCGCGTAGCCTCCTATTCTATGACGAGGGGGCAGGCTCCTGGGAGGACAGCCACAGTACCCTGCTGCCCGTGGAGCCCCCGGACGGCTGGGAGATCAAACCCGGGGGGCCAACCGAGCCACAGCCCCAGGACCACCTGCAGCATGACCACCTGGACAGCACCCACGAGACCACCAAGTACCTGAGCGAAGCCTGGCCTGAAGACGTCGGTGGCAACGGCAGCAGCCCTGACTTCTCCCACCCCAAGGAGTGGTTCCACAACAGGTGCGAGGGAACCCCTTCTTCCCTCACTGAGGTCCTGGGCTGCTGGCTCTCTCCGTCCCCTTTCCACCCAGGCCCCTCTCAGACACAGCCTCCCTAGACCGTACCCTTTCAGACCCAGATCCCACTTGTACCTGCTAGGTTTGATCATCTCAGCTTTGCTTCTCTCTTTCTCCAGGGACCTGGGCCCCAATACCACCATCAAGCTCTCCTAGGCCTTTGCCGGACCCGGACACAGGACGAACCCCTGGCACCCAGAAGTACCCTGATCCAACCCACACCCCATCCCTGGGGCTCCCCACCCCCTACTGCCCTGGGGCTTAAAGCTCTGCCTCTCCCCAGCCCTTCCCTGCCCCCTGACCTCTACCCCTACCCCCTGGCATCTGGACTGTCCCACCCTTGGACCAACCACTCTGTCTCTATGCCTCCTCCCTGCCACTGCCCGGGCCTCAGAGACATCACTCACTGGCCTGGCCCCTCTCAACAATGACCAATACGACCACTGCTCCTATCTGCCCCCAACCCCCACCCTATCTCCCACTGTACAGAGACCAAGAACAGAAATTGTTTGTAAATAATGAACCTTATTTTTTATTATTGCCAGTCCCCTAAGATATTGTATTTTACAAATTCTCCTCCTCTCCCACCCCCTCCCTTGTTTTATATTTTATAAAGTTAGTGCGGGCTTCGCTGTCCCCTGGCCGGGAAAGAGGGGGGCTCCCACCCACTCCTTGCCTCCACCCCCCCCAACCCGGTCTTCCCCCCGCCGCTGCCCATGCCACTGGGCCTTTTTAATTGCCAAAACTGCTCTGTCCCACGGCTCAGCACATGCTTTGAGAAAGCAAAATTTAAAAAAAAAAAAAAGATGCAGCATCAATTCCTGACTTTGTGCCTTTCTTCCTGGGGTGGTGGGCAGGGCTGAGGGGGTGTACTGGGGAGGGGAAAGAAGGGTGAGTTTCTTTGTATTCTGCCATGGGGGCCTGGAGCTATGAGGAGGTGAGAAGGCATTTCAGAGGCGCTGCTTTGCCCAGGGTACTGAATTTGAACTTGATCATCACAGTTCAAAGCGTCCTTTAGTCCTCCCACGATCAAATGATTTCTTTGTTCTTATTTCTCTGTGTGTGTGTTGTTCTTATTTCTTATTAATTTTGTAAAAGATGCAGTGGAATACCATATCCTGCACTTTAAAAAATTATTTTTATTTGAAAAGCAGATTTACAGAGAGAAGGAGAAAGAAGGAAGAGAGATTGAGCTTTCATCCACTGGTTCACTCCTCAAAAAGCTGCAATGACCGGAGCCAAAAGAATCTGAAGCTAAGAGCCAGGAGCCTCCTCCAGGTCTCCCACGAGGGAGCAGAGTCCCAAGGCTTTGGGCTGTCCTCTGCCATTTTACCAAGCCACAAGCGGGAGCTGGATGGAAAGTGCAGCACCAATATCAGATTCTGGTGCCATAGACAGAAGCTTAGCCTACCATGCCATGGCACCTGCCCCTATCTGCACTTTTTAAAAAGCATTTATTTGGGGCCTGGTGCAATGGCTCAGTGGCTAAAATCCTCGGCTTGCAAGCACCAGGATCCCATGTGGGTGCAGCTTTGTGTCCTGGCTGCTCTACTTCACATCTAGCTCCTTGCCTGTGGCCTGGGAAAGCAGTCAAGGATGACCCAAAACCTTGAAACCCTAAACCCACGTGGGAAACCAGGAAGACTCACCTTTGCTCCAGCCATTGCAGCCACTTGGGATGTGAACCAGCAGATGGAAGATCTTTCTGTCTCTCTTCTCTGTAAATCTGCCTTTACAATAAAAATAAATCTTTTAATTTTTTTTTAAAAGCATGTATTTGAAAGATAAATGTAGATTTAGCTCTACCATCTTCTGCTTCGCTGCCCCAAATGCCCACAACAGCCATTGCTGAGCCAGGAGCCCAGAACTGCATCCTGGTCTCCTACATAAGTAGCAAAACCCCAAGCACTAGAGCTGTTACCTGCTGCCTCGCAGAGTGAGCATTGAACCTAGAGCTGAACCTTGAACCCAGGGACTCCAGAATACTAGATATGGGTGTGCCAAGCGGTGCATTAGCCACTGCTCCAATTACCTGCCCCAGTCCTTGCCTCTGTTACTTCCTGGGGTTAAAGTTACAGAATTCAGAACAAGAAGAGCTGTACCTGCATCCTGCAGGTGTCCCTAGCTGGTTAAAAGTGGCATCCAGATTTGTAATATGACCGTGGCGATATGGGGCACCTGTGACGAGAAGAGAACAAAGCAGCCATTGAACAAACTTCTTTGTGAGACCACTTTGTAGATGTACTTAGGGTCCCAAATAGTTTGAGTTTCAGTTCATTAAACCAGCACCCAGACTGATACCAGAGTGCATGGATTCAAGTCCCAGCTTCTCTACTTTCAGTCCAGCCCCCTGCTAACACACTCACCTTAGGACATAACAGGTGATGGCTCAAGTGCTTGAGTCCCTGCCACCCAATGTGGGAGGCCCAGAGAAGGCTCCTGGCTTTAGCATGGCCTAGTACCTAACTATTGTGGGCATTTGGGGAGTGAATCCAACAGTTGGAAGATTTCCATCAATCTCTGTCTCCTGTCTCTGTTTCTACCCCCTTTTAAAAAATACATATATATATATATATATATTATTTTTATATTGGAAAGGCAGATATACAGAGAGGAGGAGAGACAGAGAAGATCTTCTGTCTGATGGCTCATTCTCCAACTGGCTGCAACGGTTGGAGCTGAGCCAATCCAAAGCCAGAAGCCAGGAGATTCTTCTGGGTCTCCCACGCGGGTCCAGGGTCCCAAAGCTTTGAGCCGTCCTCGACTGCTTTCCCAGGATACAAGCAGGGAGCTGGATGGGAAGTGGAGCTGCTGGGATTAGAACCGGTGCCCATATGGGATCCTGGCACGTTTAAGACGAGAACGTTAGCCGCTAGGCCACGCCACCAGGCCCGGGAGCTGGTTCTAATCTGGCAGCCCCACTTTCCTTCCAGCTCCCTGCTTGTGGCCTGGGAAAGCAGTTGAGGATGGCCCATGGTATTGAGAAGGAATTTCTTCACCTTGCAGCATCTCAGAACTACTGAAACCATTGAAACTGTCTCCTTGGAACATGCTCCACATCAGGGACTCTGGGATGACATCAGGTGGTCTTATTAATCCCCAGGTACTGATGCAGTTAGGATGCTGGGAGCAGCCCTCTCCCTTCTCTCCCCACTTTCCCCCAGATACAGGAAGAAGAAAACAAATTGGAAACGATTATCTTATCCCCTTTCCCCCATTCCTTGCCCCTTCCCACCCTAATCAGTGGCTCACATGGCCATGCATCCTTCTCAACTATGTAAACATCAAAATTTTAAATTAATTTATTTTTTAAAAAAGAAAGGGAAGGTGCATGTTGAGAGACTGATGGGGAGAGCCTGCAGAAGGTCAGGTGTCAGGTGAGAGGGTGGGGAGAATGAGAATAAGGCCAAGTGTCCAGTGGTTTTAACAATGAAGTGGTCCCCAGTGGCCTTGTGGCCGGAGCTGCTGTGTCAGAGCAGCTGGGGCAGGAGCGCGACAGCCCAGCGGAAGGAAGGACAGGCAGCAGGTGCAAGTGAACGCTTGCTGGGTGCTCAGCTGTGCAGAGACAGAGTGACCACCAAAGAGGGGATGAGGGTGAGATTAGAGCAGCTTGGGGTTGTGCTTCAGAGGAGAGGCCATTGAACATGACTGATTCTAGAAGGCAAAGAGTCAACAGAAAGAAGACTCAGGGCAGCCACTAAAGGGCACAATGATGATGGAGGAAGATGGGGAAGGATGCAGGGAGTGACTGGAGGAGTGCATCTGGTCCTGAGACCTCAGCAGAGGGTGGCAGCATTCTGTGGGCATCCAGGAAACCACAGGAGCCCCTGTAACTGTGAGGTACGAGGGCTGGCAAGGAAAGCTACAAGTCAAGGAGAAGGGGTAGTGTGAAGGGTCACGCCGGAGCAGAGACAACGTAGCTCTTGGGATGACTGCCCCCTCCCCCATCACTTATTCAAGAAATATCTGTGACACACAGCACCAGGCTAACAATGGAGTTCAAATGAGATCCAGCTCCTGATTGTAAATACTTGATACCCACCTGCCCCACCTGTGACCTTCTCCACGTGCCCCAGTTTGGAACTGAAAGAACCTTAGGGGTTGGACATTTTATCTCACAGTGAGGTTCCAGGAGGCACAATTAGCTGACCAAGGTCACGTGCCTCCTGTGTCCAAGTTGAGTCCCGATCTGTATGGCTTGGCCTCTCCACCCTTTTCCTTCTCCTCTCCACTTCCTGATGTCCAGATTTCTAGGAAAGCACAAGAAACAAGAACTCTAGGACTTCCCAGAGAGTGCAGGATTCCACCAGGTGGTGCAAGGGGTCATCGGTGATAGCCACGCCCACCAAAGAAATCTTCCCAGCTGGTGTTGGGACAGAGCGAGAACCATGGCACAAGCCACGGTTGGCATGCAGCCTCCTCCATGCCAGGGGTGAGAAGAGGAGAGGGACTTCCTCGGCTTGCTCCCCCCACCAACTCCCTAGCAAGAGAGCTGCAGCCCCCACTCTATTGTCAGCTTCCAGCAACCAGCTTTGCCACATGCGCAGTAGATAGCTGTTACAATACCAGTGCCTCCGCTCACTTGCCACAACAAACCCTTTGTTATACCTGGAAACAAAAGCTCTAAAAACAGAGAACAGCTGCCAGGGGATGCCTGGAATGGGGATGGGCCACAGCATGATTCCCTGGCCAGCCCCAGGATGCATTTGGGCAAACTGGGCACTTAGCTGATACAGGAACAGGTGCCCCTTGGGTCCTTCCTCCAAGGGTGGGGGTTGGAGGGGAGACAGTCCAGGAACTCGGCTCCAAAACACGGGCCCTGGGGTTCATGGTGTCATGTGAGTGCGTGATCTTGGCAAAGGGAGAGCCTTGGATCATCTCAGTGCCCTCAGCTGCCAGCCGGCCCCCCACTCACATCAAGCTGCTAGAAGGAGTGGATGTGAGCTCGCAGAGAGCTGCAGGCACAGCATCCGTTAGGCAATAAACACGCAGAAGCCTGGGCTATTATTTCTTGAGTGCAGAGATAATGGGTGGGCTGGGCAGCACACAGCAGCTGGGAGAGACTATAGCAAGGAGGCAGGCTGCTAAGAGCAGGGCACCTTCAGGTTTCCCCTTGGCTGGGGAAGAGGGTGGGGTCACAGATAGAAAACTGAGCTGTCAACAGCTGGATTTAAGTGGGTAGGTGTGAGGTGAGAATGAAGTGGGGAGTAGGGGTCCCGAGCAGCAAAGAGCCCCCCAAAAAAACAGTTGCTAGGTGGCCATGGAGGGAATGTCCAAACTTAGCCAGGCC